GTTGACTTGGCAAAGGCATTCCACTCTATTACTCATGAATCGCTTTTAACAACTTTAGAAAACTTAGATTTCCGGGGAATAACATACAAACTTATAGAAAATTATTTGTCAAATCGAACACAGTGCGTCAAAATTAATAACACATTCAGTGAACCCCATATTTTATCATACGGTGTACCTCAAGGCTCAGTATTAGGACCCATTTTATTTAATCTATTTATCAACGATTTGTTCAAAATAAGTAGTACAGGTAAAGCTATCGGTTTTGAGGATGATACAGCTATTCTCTATGAAAGCAACCAGTGGCATACACTAAAAACCACAATCGAACATGATTTCAAAACATTTATAAATTTCTTTTCGGAAAGAACTTTGACAATTAATTACAACAAAACACACTATATAGCATTTTCTTGTAACGACAGGCTCTCGCCACAATTTAAAAAACTTGAAGTTCATACAAGCAGTGGTCTCAAAGAGATTCAGTCAGCCGATAAAATAAAATACTTAGGCGTGATTTTGGACAAACACTTAAAATGGGATAGCCATACAGAGTACCTTGTGAAGAGACTGAGATGTATTATTCCAAAATTCAGGTACTTCAGAGATATTCTAGATAAGAAATATCTATATAATGTATATTATGCTCTTGTTTATCCTCTATTACTTTATGGAATTTTGGCTTGGGGGGAGTTATGAATAATAATTACAAAAAGGTTGAGGTAATCCAAAAATTAATTCTAAAATTGATCCTCCATAGAGAGATTACTTATTCAAGTGATTTTCTATATATGGAGGCTCAGCTATTAGATTGCAGACAAATTTATTTTTATTGTGGTTTAATACATTATTTCAAATATTCAAAATACTTTAATCGTACCATTCATAACTACCCAACAAGGTTCAATCAAAATTCAATGTGTTTTCCACGAACATCAAAAACCATTACACAACGATCTCTGTTTTTCTTGGGACCAAAATTCTATAACTTCATACCAGAGTCATTAAAAGTAATTAAGTCAAGTAAATCATTTAAAAAACAACTAAAAAAGTGGATTTTACAACAACCAAGGTACTCCATCCACGAAATTGTAGATCTGAAAAATCATTATCAAAATTAATAATATTTTACTTACACTCACATCCATACTTTTACTTCAGTTCTAATTGTCTGGATATTTTTCCTGACATTACCATAATAATTCACCAAATTATACAGTATTAACGGTTTTTGTTTTCATACACTGACTGTACTATTAGTTTTTATTTTGTACAAACCCAAACACAAGTGCAAACTTTTTCTGGGTGCTTTATGTTTATTGTGCACAATATTTGATATTTACTTGTATTTTGTGACAATAAACATTATTATTATTATTATAAGAGAAGAAAGGAAGAGACGAATAGATAACTTGGGCTGCAAGCTGCAATTCCATTACCAACTAGCCACTCCTCACATCGTGCGGTAAGCAACTAGGTGGTCCGCAAATCGTGTGCCCTACGAAGACGAAGGGAATCGAGGATGAGCGCTTTCTACATTCTTCCAGCTGCTTTGTCGATTGTCTGCTTACCGGTATGGATTTTTTTGCAGAGAGCAGCATATTCCTTATCCCACCCAAGGATCAAATGACTATAACTAGCAGATTGACAGCGTGGTCTGAGTAAAGCCTGCGAAGCTAATTGAAGAGCTCCTGATACTTGGTCCGTTTTTTATCCATCTTCGAGACGATTCTCATTTCTCGTTCTCCGCAACGGAGTCAATATCCCCTGGAGTACAGTGCAGCAGAGGTGTTTCATTTATACCGGAAGAATGCCAGAAATGGTAGTACGGTGCGAGTAGACTTAATTGGTGCTAACATATTTTTGCCAAAAATATTGTGTGTATTTTCTATAATACAGTAAATATAATGTTTTTTTTCTTTTTCTTTTTTGGCAAATAAATTTGTTTTGAATTTTTGAATATACTTTACACTCTGACAAGGATGCATGAGCATCTTTGACATCGACATGCTCTGCAGTTGGAATTGGGTACATCCTCACCCATACCCCACACATTTATACATAGAGATGCATAGAATGCAATTATACAGAGTTACTAAATTTTGACCAACACATTGGTTTTTAAACGGAATGCCATATGTTTTTATTACATTTTCAGGCACACCTTTTACAGGAAGAAGATTGATAAGGGGCGAAACTAAAATTCCATGACCTGGCTTTGTGGGTCGTATCTCGGATTGGGCTCAATTTTTTTCCTATACCTTTCTTAATTTTCAAGGTTCTGGGTCGAACGGTTCCGTGGAGATGAAGTTTGGAGGTTCGCCAAAAATATGATTTATAGCATTTTCTCGCTACACCTGCCACTGTAAAGCATTAGGCTTCATCATGTCTGACGATTCCTATATAACATTGTCCAAGAATGTCAAAAACTACCTCAAAATTTCGACACGATAATTCGTTCAGCAGAGGTATTTCAGTTAGAATTAATTTATTCTAAATTTTCCATTGGTTTATTGGGCTGATAATTCGAATGCCTCTAGAAACGAAGAATGCATTAAATATTTTTGTTCCTGTAAAAGAGGTGGAACAGCAGGACCTTCTACATAAATAGAAGTTTGTACCGGGCCATGATATTGGTCGGATTTTGGTCCAATTTTCGATATCTTGGGTCAAAGTTGGCTATTGTCGTGATACTGGAGGACAAGTCATATCACACATCGGGCTCAAATTTATTTCCGGAAGTGAACATTGTAAAATCCCAAGCCCCTAGGTCGAACGGTTCGCTCTGGAGACGCGTTCAAAGTTTCAAGATTCGGCAAAGTACGAATTTCATACTTGCTGGTAACATTTTCATTTTGTCACTAATAATGTGATTGGAAAGCACTAAGGACCTGAAATATGTGACGGTTCCCAAGTAACTTTGACCAATGAATCAAAAAATGACATTTGAATTGATAATTCGTCCCGCAAATATTTCAGTCTAAAATAATTTTATTCGAAATTTTTCATGATTTTCCTGGGCTGACATTCGTCCATTTCTTGCACCCTCTGAATGATCAATACAGGGTGGTCGAAAAAGCGCAAGATGTATTTTTTCTCAGCGAAAAGGACAGTGATTATTCTGTATATTTATAAATTTTTGAATTCCACTTTTTACACGCTTTTCCAGGTTAAGGGGTCACACTCTAGTGTCTAGCTTTGCAGTTATTGTTGGTCCGTTATTAATATCCTCATAACAGGGATTTAAAAATATTACATCATCCAAGGAAACAAAACGAAGATAGTGGCACGGCCTGCATAGTGTTCCCTTAACCCATATTATAACATTTTACCTACTTGTTCACAATTTTTAGCCCTTGTGATATAAGATAAGCGGGGGGTCAAAACATAAGAGTAATAAAAATCACTGAGACGTTACCGAATGGTGACAGATTCGAAAGGATTAAAAACATGCTAAAACAAGGTTCGTTTGGTGTTTCTGAATACTGCTGGAGACAGAAAAAACAACTTTTTAGTATTACCTGTAACGTTTGTCCAACTTGCGCACTAATGTACTAATGACCTCGCAGACGACGTAAGAGATGATTGGGATTATAAAGAACCATTATTTAAACATTCAGACCTAGAAAAATGTCCAACCACTCGACAAATCTGACCACCTTAGCAAAGAGTCTAGCCATGTCTCAGTTTTTTAGGTCGTCTCGTACCGAAATAAAATTTAGGTTTTTGAGGTGTTTTTCGCGTGCATAAGATCGTTTCATATTATGACAGAGCGCCGATCGATTACAGTCGTTGCTACAAACTTGATGATAGAATTGTACAAAACTTAAACAACAATGCAAATAGAGGTAAGTGTTTTTCCTTGAACGGGTCACAATTTTAACTGGAACTTCCGAAACTCTACTCTACTAATCAGCCGCCGTTAGCTGCACGGGTTCGAATCCCATCCCACAATAGCTTTTCTTTTGTCTATGGATGTTGTGATTGTCCGTAGGCGGCATATGGTCTCATACCGTCGAGCGTGGTGGGACAACCCGACGGATCTCTAAGGCGGGACCAGAATGTGCACATGTCACTTGCACCAGAGCTTCGGGCGACGTCACCCCGTCTTCCTCTGCATCCAAATTTAGCTCCACCGTATCCCCAAGGATTTAGGCCGTAGGCCTACGTGGTGGCTCAATTATAGAGGAAATCCAGTGCCATTAGGCGGTGGAGTAGTCCATGGCCCATCTTCTTGAATAAAAGGTAGGGATTGATTGATTTTTGTTTAACCTTCATAAACCCGTGGTCAGAAATTTACGTTAAATACCGAGTGGGGTGCAAATGTACCCCAACGTTTTTCTGGCTTATTTAATTAAAGATTTTCAAAAAATAAACACATTCTGATTATAAAAAATATATATTTTTACATAAGTATGCTATAACATTGATAAACAAACACATTTGGAAAAATAATTTGAAATGATTATAATATAAAGAAAGATAATTAAGAAGAAGATAAATATGTGATATTTTAAATAATAATTTAATTATCACACAAACGGTTATATTTTTAGAATGTTCTGCACATACGTACTGATTACACCGAATACAAAACTTTCGAGATTTCCTGTCTTTACTTCTGTCGCATAAAAAACATCGCTGCTGTCTCCGAATAGCGGGAGCAGGTGGTTCATTCCTTACAATATTTAATTCTGGCAAAATTGCTAATATGGATTGTTTTATATTGGAATGTAACGACTTGTCATTATGGTATCTACGAATTATATTCTTCTTAATTAATTCTTGGCCCAACTCCAACAGAAACATTCTTCTCCTATCTAAACGATTTTTTTTCCAATCTGGATTTTTCAACCTCCATAGTTTATAGGCGTTGATGCCACCAATATCCAGCAGATGAAAAAATATTACCATCGGCCATCGATTACTTTTTCTTTGAGTGGTAAATTCCTTTGCCAATTTATCTGTTGTATCTACTGCACCCTTAGTTTTGTTGTAGTGTAAAATGATGTCCGGTTTATAGTCACATTCCTCTCCACTTATTCTGTCATCGTTATGTTCTGTTGATAAAAGGATAACTGCCGCATTTTTCTTTGGTACGTAAGAAACTAATGTTTTATTTTCCATAAAAGCAAACATGCTTGAAAAATCATTCTTGTATTTTGCTGGAAGTAGTTCTTTTGGAATATAAGGTTTATTTTTACGCAGTGTTCCACACAAGGTAATGTTTTTATCTAAGAGCTTATTGGCCAACTCAATACTGGTAAAAAGTTATCAGTAGTTATCCCATATCCTGTAGATAAATGGTTTACCAGGTCTAACACTACCCTTTGACCTTGACCTTTCTCTGGTTTGTTTCCTTCTTTGCCTAAAATTTTAAAATCTATAATATCTGCATGTTCTAGGACATAGCTTACCTAAATAAATTTGCATATTCACTGTATACGCCAAACTACAATCAGCCAAGGCCCAAATTTTTAATCCATATTTGTCCGGCTTACTCTTCATGTAAACCCGAAAAGGAGCCCTGCCTCGGAACGGAACTAACTGCTCATCCACGCACAAGTGTTCAGATGGATTTAAAGATTTCTTGCAATTAGATACAAAAACATCAAAGACATCTCTGATTGCGGCAAATTTATCAGTGCGTTTTCTTTCTTCTCTTGTTTCAAAATTGTCGAATCTTAGAAAGCACATAATTTGTTGGAATCTGTTGCGAGACATAGTAGATGATACCAAAGGTCGACATAAAGTTGGGTCTTGGCTCCATAATACGCATATTGGCTCTTTAGCAGCATGCCAGGCTAATAAGCAAACCAATAAATGCTTCCAGTTCCTCTTGCACAAAAGGAGAAAAAGCCTTCCCATTTCTTGCATAATATGATTCGGCTTTTCTATTCGTCTCCGATAAAATCACATTCATAATATCTTGTGAAAAAAATAGTTCAAAGGATTCTTTTATGCTGGAAAATTCTGAGCTATATCTCGTCAAACCTGTTGGACCAGTTTGTATATTACATTTTCTTCTCTTTGTCCTCGCAGTAAGTGGAACTTTTGCCCACACACTACCATCTTTAGAAGTATAACTTGGATTTTCTGTATAAGTTATTGATTGGCCAACTACACCTGAAGAATCTGCCAAATCATTCTCACTATCACTAACTTGCAAAACATCATATATCTCATTAGTTTCAGTCACTATATCAGTCTCTTCGATATCACTTGAACCATTTTCTAGTATCGAATCATTAAAATAATGGTCGTAAATATCCGTTTCTAATATCGCCAATAGTTCTTCGTCTGTTAGCTTATTTTCATTTCGAAATTTCGGTGGTTCACTCATTTTTATAAGCGCGTAGGCGACAATCACTACAAACGTAACGACACACACGAAACCTAAGATTATAATGCGATAATTGCGTGGACACGTTATACATAGCCGCTATTGGGATTCCCCGACAGTGTTGCCGTCACGATACGGGGAATCTCCATCGTTTGAAAAATTTGGGGTTTATTTATTCAGCGTATGCAAAATATTTACCTATAGTTACATACCGAGCGGGGTGCAGCTGCACACCAAGGAGCAAAACTCACTATAACTTGTTACAATAAATCACAAATTGTTTAAAATTTTTTATACTATATTAGAAACATATTTGAGAAACATAACTCAAAGGAAATTAAATTAAAAAAATATCTTAGAAAATAACACCAAAAATTGATGTCTGGGGTGCAACTGCACCCCGCTCGGGTTTATGAAGGTTAGGTCTTTACTTTACCATACTCGGTTTTTTAAAATTCTAAAGGGGCACCGAAAACAGTAGGCATTTCTGTATTCTTTTGGTGTTTTTGTTTATGTGAGGACAATTCATTGCAACCTTCAAAAATGCAACGAATAGCGATTTTGACAAAATTTTCACACAAGGTGAACAACTGGCCAAGGCTGAGATGGAAATTTCGGTATCACAAATGGGTAAAAGCATCTAGCGACCATTGACCTATGAAAAATTATACTTCGTTTTCGATCTGTACGTTCCGAAATATATTAAGCATAAGCATCGTTATCTAGATTGGTATGGCTTGGATGTTATTCGTAATTTAAAACTGAAATGTAGACTGCATCAGCAATATAAACGTTCCAAAAGTCAGGAAATCTATAGACAGTTTTCTAGGGTCCGTGCACTTGTTAAACAACAGATACAAGACTGTTACAATCTATATCTGCAAAAAGTTGAAAATGATTTGGTTACAAATCCGAATCATTTTTGGTCTTTCATCCAGTCTAAGAAAGGCTCATCTAGAATACCAGGTAAGATGACCCTTGCTAATGAACTATCAGATAATCCTAATCGGACTATTAATTTATTCGCAGAGTATTTCCAAAGTGTTTATGTTATAGATAGTAATGTATACCAACATCTCGTTGTTAATAGTCAGCATGGGTAACTTCACAGATGAGGATATTCTAAAGGCACTGTGAAAATTACCAAACAAGTTAACAGCAGGAGAAAATATGGTACCGAGCTTTGTAGTCCGTGATGCGGCGCACATATTTGTCACGCCTTTAAAGAAAATTTTTAATTATTGCCTCAGTACAGCAACTTTTCCTACAAAATGGAAACTGGCTAGAGTGTGCCCTATTTTTAAAGCTGGGGACTCTAGTCAAATCGAAAATTACCTAGCTATATCTATATTGGATAATTTTGGTAAGGCATTTGAGATATCTGTATACAACTACATCTATCATTTGACCTCGCATCTGATATCTGAGACGCCACATGGATTTATGCGCATTCGCTCTACTATTTCTAACTTAACTGAAATCACCCAGGAAATTGCAGAAGTCTTAGATAACAGGGGTCAGATGGATGTGGTCTATACGGATTTCTCAAAGGCCTTCGATAAGATAAGTCACCAAAGAATCATAGGTAAACTTCAGCATTTTGGCTTTAGCAATCATTTATTAGATTTCATTTCTTCTTACTTGCATGATAGAAGTCAGTACGTTTCTTACCATCTCCCTAACTGCTTAACCTGTCCTTCTCTGTTGTTTGCCGATGATTTAAAAATATATGCTCAGATTAACAGCATTGATGACTGTCTAACCTTGCAAGCTGACCTGAATCATATATTTGAATGGTGTTCAACTAATAAATTATTTTTGAATGTTAGCAAATGCAAAACCTGTTCTTTTACCAGGAAATTGAATCCAATAGTTTTTGATTACACACTAGAAGGTGTCAGTTTGATGCGTTGTTCAGAAGTAAGAGATCTAGGTGTGTTGTTTTATGTTAAATTAGAATTTACAGGTCATATTAGTACAATGGTATCATCCGCTATAAAAAGTCTCGGTTTTTTGATAAGAAACTGTAAATCGTTTGGTTGTGAAACGACACTGCACCTTGGTGCGTTCTAAACTTAAATATGCATCTAGTGTATGGCACCCATATTACCAAATCTATATTAATGAAATTGAAAGTGTACAGAGGAGATTTCTTAAATACTGGACTTTCAAATTAGATGATGTTTATCCCAATCGTGAGACTCCCCAATCAGCAATGTTGCTCAGATTTGAAATGCATACTCTTGAGCTGAGAAGAGTTTGTAATAGTTCCTTTACAAACTCGTACACAGTGATGCTGATTCTTCAGCTTTATTAGCTAAAATTGATTTTCATGTACCGTCCCGCATTTCCAGAAGATTTCTCGCTTTTTACTTAAAAACACCAAATTCTAATGTTATGATTAAGTCACCCGTGTACTTTATGTGCTCCAGCTTTAACACCATAGTTGATAATTGTGACATTCATCATGATAAAATCAAAGATATATTAGCTGTATTCAGCGACTACTATTATTCAATTTATAACATTTAAGACGTGTAGGTGAGTAGGTGTAGCTATTCATTTTTTTTCATAAAATGGGTGAGCTATGATTGCAGTTGAAAATATTTTAACATCAAATTGTATTCAATTACATTGTCCTTTAAATGGATATATCTGTTGGGAAATAAATATATTATTATAATTATTATTATTATTATTATTATTATTATTATTATTATTATTATTATTTCAGGTTGGTTCACCTCTAAGTAGTTGCTGTTATCGACGCAGCTTTGAGAGTACCGCGTACATAATTTTTATACATTAGCTTATCAATAGCAAATAGAACAGTAATCTCGAGAATCCACCTGGAGTGGTGGTAAATATGTATAAAAACCTGTCACGGTAGGACCGCCGGTCAAAGATGATGTTAGTGTTAGCTGTTATCCAGCTGATAGCAATATCAGCAGTTAGTGCTGCCCTTTACGACGTTACCAAATATGGTGCCGATCGTAGTGGAGGAATTCCAAGTACTGACCAGATAGCAAGAGCCATCAACGATGCGGCAATCCATGGAGCAGGTATTGTCCATTTCCCGCCAGGAAAATACCTGACAGGGCCAATCGAGCTGAAATCCAACATCATACTAGACATCGCAGATAGTACGATTATCACTTTCCTCGACGATCCAGCATTGTATCCTCCACTAGACGCTACATTACCTGATGGTAAACAAAGGCGTATAGAGTTTACTCCACTAATAAGAGGTGTTGGGGTGAGGAACGTAGCGATCAGAGGAAATTGTGTCCTTGAAGGAAATGGCGCGATTTGGTGGGACAGACTTCCTCCACCAGCAACTAGGCCAATATTCATCTACTTCTCCGGCAGTCACAACATCGTTTTGAAGAATATCATCATCCGGAACAGTCCTATGTTCAACGTGAATATCATTTGGTCTAACTCTATCGTTGTCGATGGTATCAGGATCCGCAATCCTGAGTCATATAAAGGAGCCGGTCCCAACACCGATGGAATCAACCTTTTATCAGTTAATAGGGTGCACGTAACGAATGTAGATGTCGCTACTGGAGACGATTGTTTAGTACTCGACGCCTGGGGATATGGCAAGGACCGAGATCCCACACATGATGTTCTGATAGAAAACAGTCACATGTCTATTGGTCATAGTGGAGTGGGTATTGGTAGTATAACAGCAGGTGGCCTGAGGAACATCACTATAAGGAACTGCGTGTTTGACTCCGTGTGCAGAGGAGTGGACATCAGGACCAACAATGTAAGAGGAGGCGTGGTTGAAGATATACTCTATCAAAACCTCACCATGAACAACTGCACGTGGGAAGGCATTTCAATTACGGCATTATTCCCTGATTACAAAGACAAAGGATGGCACCCCATTGGGGATCAAACACCGTTTATACGTAACATCAGATACGAAAATATCCGTGGCAGTGCAGAACGTGAGGGAATCTACTTGGTCGGTCTTCCAGAATCTCCGGTTGAAAATATTGTCCTCGAAAACGTTGACATGCGTTCAAAGAAGCCGAATCCCATATTGTTGCAGAATACCAGGAACATTGTTATCAACGGAAGGAGGTATTAAAATAATCTATGTATATATTTATCTAATAAAGTAATTCTCTTTTTATTCAGTGTTATCATTATTGCGTGTGTGTGTAAAAAAGTAACATAAAAGGTTATTATTGAACATAGCCCCTAAAATGTTCCAGTACAGAAATACAGAGTGATGTGATGCCATTGATGAGACTGTAAGTTCAAAACATGAATATTGCTTAAATAATACTATGCTGAGCGGGTATTGCCCTTCGGTTACACTACATACAATCTGCAATGTCAAACCACTATATTTATCGTATCTTTCAAGTAGAATTATTTAATCCTATTTATCTCCAAAGGAAGTAATCTGACAAAATTTTCTCAAGAGAGACGATTTATGTAAGATTGAGTGCTTCGGTAAAAAAAGCAAAATATGTTGAAAGGGTCATTGTCGGAGAAAAAATAATTTTCCTTACTATCCTACAGGGGTCAACATTTCTTGATTTCCGTGCCCCCGTGAAGCAGCGTGGGGAAATTTTTTGTTCTTATTGGTTGTACCTACAAAATTCTAATTAATTAATTAGAGTATTAATTAATTCATGCACTCCTTGTATCTCAAGACACGAACATTTGTTAAATTCAGTTTTTCATGCATTATACTCGTACAGGTTAGTAATATAGCCGACCACAGACGTCCAACCATGGACAGCTGTTCCATGCTTTTTGGCAACTCTTCAGCACAATGTGCAATGTATTTAAACTGAGCAAATATACTGCACTCGGAGTATTTTCTTTTTTATTTTCTTTTATACCGGAGCAGCCGCGCAGGCAGAAGCTTAAATGCCGCGGCTACTACGATGATCCCAAGGAAATTTGTTAATCGGATTTTTGAACTGCCTAAGGTTGGTAGAACTGGGAAAAGCTTCCTCTTGTAGATCATTCCACAATCTCGATACCCTCGAGACAAAGGAGCAGTCGTATCGGCTAGTTCTGGATGTACGGCACATCGCGCGTGGGCATCATGGAAGAGAGCTCTGAGGCGCAAAACCCGTTGGTATAGCGGTACAAGAGAGCTAGATCGCCGACGGCCCGCCAGTGAAAAAGGGTCCCGAGACTGTCTGTTAGAGAAAAATCATCGATCAATCGGACAGCCCTCCTCTGATGGCCCTTTGGCAGAAATCGGCCATCCATCGAAACCGGATGAGCGCTAGAACGCTTTTTGTTCGTCAAGGTACAGTACAGTGTTTTGGAAGCTTTAAACTGTACAAGATTGTTACGTCCCCAAGATGTGATAACTTCCAGTTCTCTCGTCAAAAAAAAATCGATACTGCATAACAAGCAGCACATAAAGTGACCAAGTCTTTATTTTTTGTATTTGTTGTTGTTTTCTTATCATAATGAAACACACTTATCTTTTATGTTATCTATTTATTTAGTAAAATTGCATGTCGATATGGTCATTGATACCAGTTTTCAAGATTTCTCCTTTCCATTGAGAATAACATTTTTGGTGTTCTTGAGTTGAATATGGTGGTCAGATCTGACATCCATATTTGAGATTGTAACATTTTCCAGGTGCGATTCTGACACACCATATATCAAGACTGCACTTCACACGTTCATCTTTTTTATGAAAACCATAGAATGTTGATATTGCTATACCTTCGTGATGAATAAACTGTATGGTTTTATTATAGGCTTCGATATATTCAATTGTACCTCCTCTAAATCTGCTGGTCTTAATCAGGAGCCCTGTAAGGGTGTTTCTGAAGTAACAATGTCTGATAGTCACATTCCTCGCACCTCCTGTTATCTCGCTTCCGATGATGAGCCCACCATGTCCACCAAGCAAGTCAATACAGGGTGGTCGAAAAAGCGCAGTGTGTGTTATCTCAGCGAAAAGAAAAATGATCATTCTATATATTTCGAATATTTTGAAAAAAAATCGCATGCCACTGGCCTTAATAAACATTGTAACTTATTTTTGAGAAACCTTTAATGCTGTTTTCGCCTATCTAAGTCTCCCCCGTAGAATATTGAGAAACAACATTCCAGTCATAATGACCATGCAGAGACATGCTGCTTACTCGGAAATCGCAAGCCGATGGAAATAAGCCTAAAATATCAAATTTGCTCATTATGTGATTGCCAGTTACAAAAACAATTTGTTGTAAAAAAAGAAGGGAATATCAAATGCAATGGAGTAACTCCACTAAAAACATAGTAGTTTGAGTAAAAGGCTAATATCCAATATTGTATGAGACGTGTGTGAATACTATGTGTTGTAATACTATGTTGAAATGATTTTGTGTACGACCTATGATTCGATATTTTGGGTGGAGGAACATACTTTGCAGCTTTAGCGCGCGTCATCTTTGAGTTAATCTGTAGTCATAGACCACGATAAGTTAGAGCCCGGGGAGTGTCCCACCTTGGGTTAATTTCACGCGGCAAAAAATCCACGGACTGTCAATGCTCTTGGTTAAAAGAGTCACTAGCTTAGAACCTGTGGTCTTACTTTCTGTTTGATTCAAACGAGACGTACCAAATATACTAAGTGACATATAAATCCGAACACCCAGTTTAAATGGGTTTATTTTAATAAAATTTTGTATAAGTACTTAATGAAGCATAATAAGTAAATGATAAAAATTTCAAAATGATTGCACTGCTTTAAAGCTCTTTGACCTCTAATAATGTGTGGATGCACCCTGATGTGCTACGCATCCTCCAACGCGCCTAGGCATGCTTATGATCAGGTGGTCAATGTCCTCCTGTGGTATCTCATTCCAGGCAACCACCAACTCCTCTCGAAGTGCTTCTAGAGTCTGAGGAGGACGTTGCAAATTGAGCAATCTCCTACCCATCATATCCCACGTGCTCAATTGGGGATAAGTCGGGAGATCTTGGTGGCCATGGTAACAATGTGACATCATTATGTTGAAAGAAGTCTATTGTGACTCTTGCAACATGTGGTCGGGCACTATCTTGTTGGAAAGTAGGATCTGCCAGGGTGTCAAGATGGGGTAAAAGATGGGGTTCTAGAAGTTCGTGGATATAACGCTGCGCGTTCATGTTACCTCTGATGAAGATTAAGGGTGACCTGGAACCATAAGCTATAGCACCCCAAACCATAACTCCAACAGTGTGATGAACATGTCTTTCAACAAAAAACTGTGGATTCCTCCTTTCACCACGTCGCCTTCTAACCCTTACACCGACGGTATCGCCTTGACTGGTGCAGACAACGGTCACTCTGGGACCAGGAATGGAACAGTATTGTTTTTAGTGGCGAGTCTCGATTTTGTTAGGCATGCACGATGGTCGTGCCAGGGTTAGAAGGCGACGTGGTGAAAGGAGGAATCCACAGTTTTTTGTTGAAAGACATGTTCATCACACTGTTGGGGTTATGGTTTGGGGTGCTATAGCTTATGGTTCCAGGTCACCTTTAATCTTCATCAGAGGTAACATGAACGCGCAGCGTTATATCCACGAAGTTCTAGAACCCCATCTTTTACCCTATCTTGACACCCTGGCAGATCCAACTTTCCAACAAGATAATGCCCGACCATATGTTGCAAGAGTCACAATAGACTTCTTTCAACATAATGATGTCACATTAATACCATGGCCACCCGACTTATCCCCAATTGAGCATGTGTGGGATATGATGGGTAGGAGATTGCTCAATTTGCAACGTCCTCCTCAGACTCTAGAAGCTCTTCGAGAGGAGTTGGTGGTTGCCTGGAATGAGATACCACAGGAGGACATTGACCACCTGATCAGAAGCATGCCTAGGCGCGTTGGAGAATGCGTGGCACATCAGCGTGCATCCACATATTATTAAAGGTCAAAGGGCTTTAAAGCAGTGCAATCATTTTGAAATTTTTATCATTTACTTATTATGCCCCATTAAGTACTTATACAAAATTTTATTAAAATAAAACCATTTAAACTGGGTGTTCGGATTTATATGTCACTTAGTATAAGTAGCTACAACATATTTTTTAAAAGTTCCATGGAAACGTTTGCTAATCATCACATTAACCTCTGTACATAGATAAGTTTTCAAGCTCTACGTGACTTTCACCCATTGTCTACAGCAAATTGAAAAATAGCAAAATAGGAAAAAATAATACACTTGTTCTCGATAGTATTTATCAGCTCGTCAATCCTCTCGCACAACGCAACGTAATTACTACATAAAATGTAAAGCAGTTCTAGATGACATACTATCAAAATGAACGCCCGCAGTCTCACCATAGTTCAGATAATCATAGTAGGCTCTGTTAGCGCAGTAGTCTACGACGTTACAAAATATGGCGCTGATACTACAGGTAGAAATCCTAGTACTCAAGCTATTGCAGCTGCTATCAATGCTGCAGCTTTAAAAAATGGTGGTATTGTGTATTTTCCGCGTGGAAAATACACCACTGGTCCAATTGAGTTGAAATCGGGGATCCATGTAGACTTTGCGGATGGTACACTGATTACTTTTCTAGATGACCCGAAGTTATATCCTAGCATAACTGTCAAGTTACCAGATGGAAAGGTAAGTTAATCTCCTTTGTCACTCAATTCGTTTAGATGATTTTATATTTTTCTGGGGGTTTTTAGGAGCAACTGAAGTTGACATATACCTAATTTAATAGAAATGATTGGTGCTTGTGAGGGACGTTTTGGGAAGGTCTCGTAATGTTCTGTAGCTCTGAATTTCCATTAACTATTTCGCACATTCTCCACTCCTGCAACCTTAATGAAAGTAATTGTGGGGAACATTTTTTTACAGTATACAGAGTATCCCACGGCGAACTACAGCGACCGATCACTGGAAGGTTGACGTTAGGCAATTGTATAAGCTTGAGGCTACGGTATAATATGTGAGGAATTCAAATAAGATATACAGGGCGATCCACAAGTCGTTAACAAAAATAAAACATCACACCACACAGTACCGCATTTTAAGGGGTCTTCTATGTAACATTTTTATCTCGTAATCACTCTCAAAAATTTCGCCGTTGCACTTCGACGCCGGGTTACAGATATTGTACATTTTGCCGATGGTAAGGATGTAAAACTTCCCGATACAAAATTCTCCACGCGACTTTGGAAACATGGTAAGCCGGGCTGCAATCCGCCTAGTACTTGTACTCTAACTCCAGGAAGTTTGGCAATTCCATATTGCCAAGGTCTTAGAAATGAACGCGTAAAAACCTTTGAGGAAGATTGGGGTCTATTAAGAAACCACCGTTGATATTCCCAAGAAGCCGCTAATGCATCACATTACTGAACCTGTACTAAAAAATAATATGGGGGTACTCATCATTGCTAAATTCCATTTCACAGCACTCAAAAATGGAAAAAAGAAACTTTTGATATGACTTTTACAAAAAAAAAAAAATGGTAGAAGTAACGATAACAACCGTATAACACATAACCTTGACAAGCTATCTCCCAAGAAGCGTCAAGCTGGTATCAAGGCCTGCTATTTTATTTTGAAACTAATTGTATCTCAACTCTTCATGAATGATCTATTTTTATTTTTACGAAAATAGTACACTCTAGCAAATTGAAAGTAAAATTCGAAAATTCGCGCGTGAAAAAAAACAGTGGCGTACTATTTTTATTTGGAAAAATAATCCCACTAATCCTCTGTATCTCCTCCGCTGGGCACGTTAATTTCAAGTAAAGACTTTAGAATGTGGACAATACTTTCAGTTGACGGTTTTGAAGGTATGAAAAAAATGTTTTTTATTTTTAAACTTCCCGTATCTTTTTATTGAAGCCCTGGAGGAAAAAATGTTACATGCAAGACCCCCCTTAAAATGCGGTCCTGTGTATGATGTTTCATGTTTGGTCACAACTTGTGAATCATCTTGTATATCTGGTGCTTCCGATTCTATTGGAAGTTTTATTTCAATTGAAGCACCTGTATTTTATTAATGTATTTAAATTTATCAGCTGTTCCACGGTCCGTCGCATCAATCACTTGTCATCTGTCGACGCATTATCTTTCCGTGCCGTCCCCCTTTCCACGAGTAGCGGAAGTAGGAGGTTAGAGACTGTATTCCGATTGTTTCACTAAAATGTCTTCTCACGTTTAATAATTTTTAATATGTTCGGGTGTATTGATATTCTTAACATGTAACGAAGGTATCTGTCGTTATCAACAAGCCCAATGTCTCCGTCCTATTGTTTTTATACTTATTACAAATTCTATACTCTCTACGTTCGTTTTGAAACACCTTGTGGCTGCAACCTCAACGACGAGTAAGTTGTTTGACAATTTAAATCTGTCCTGTTTTCTTTGCTAGCATCACAATTGTGTTTTCAGAATCCTGATGAAGGCTCCATAGAGAATGCCGAAAGCTTGATTTTGTCGTCAAAAGAGTCAACTTAAGCCTAAAAATTTGCCAATTTCCCAATTAACAATTAATTATATATATATATATATATATATATATATATATATATATATATGACATCACTTCCTGTAGAAAAGAGGGAAGGTAGAGCAGAAGGCGCAATCTGAAAACTAACATAAGCACTTTCCCTAAATCTTAAGCTATATGTCAAACTTGGCAACGGTGAGCTTCAAATATCAACCGATTAGCTGTCATACTGTCTACAGATGAGGGATATTGATTCACAATTTTAGATTGCAATAGAGCCTAAATAAATGTTAATTTTCAAAACTGTAAAATTTTTATACACTACATAGGAAATTTTGATATGAAATGATTAAATGTATTGAACTACAATGCCAGTTGTCAGCAGTGATTGTCTCTAAAAAAAAAATTCGCTACATCACCGCTTGAACGCTAAGTACATAGGTTATAAAAGTATGCTAAACACTCAATCAACCGTGCAAGTTTAACGTAAATGCCGCATTTGCTACATTTTGTAGCACTATAGTTATCACCTCCAACCCAAAAGTAAAAAATATATCTGGTGTATCCAATACACTCACACTTAATGACGTGTGTCTTATGATCAGAACTCTTATCAAACAGATTTGCCCGTTCATACCAATCTCTTTAATGTATCTCATATGCTATGCCCACAATAGTTTCGTCACTTTTGCATAGTTTGAGGTTAAGTTTAAATAATGTTTTATGGGTTCATTCATTTTTTGGTTAAGGTATGCAAATTACTTAGTTTAATATGCGCTACAACCAAATTTCCACTTCTTGAAATTTCGATTTGCTATTGCAGTTTAGAATACCTTCCTGTTTCCTTTCAGACGAGACACCTGCCCTACACGCCACTAATCAGAGGTATGGGTGTAAACAACGTAGCAATCAAAGGCAATGCCATCATTGATGGTCGAGGTCAAATTTGGTGGGACCGGCTTCACCCACCAAGCGATAGACCTGTTTCGGTACATTTCTGGGTCGCAAACAATATTGTTCTGCAGAGCTTCCACATCCAAAACAGTCCGATGTTCAACGTACATATTGTGGACAGCAATAATATTGAGATAAATAGTATCAGCATCAAAAACCCTCCAGATTATCATGGAAAAGGCCCAAATACTGATGGCATCAACCTCAACTCTGTTAAGAACGTACATATCGCTAATGTCAATATAGCTACTGGAGATGACTGCATAGCACTTAATGGGAACACTGACTCAAGAGGTAGGATCTCTACATTTTATGTTCTATGATTACGTAATAAAGATGTTTTTCCCCTTCCGTCTCTTTTAGCTACAAATGAACTATGCTCAATACACTTGACTAAAAATTGGGACGCTGACTTCGAGAATAGTCATTAAAGCATGTACTTTCCTCGACATAACCTCCTTACTTTGTGCAAGGCCCCGATAAGGCCTATCCTCGAGTGCTGCTCACATGTTTGGGGTGCTGCCACCACGATTACCTTGTCCGTACTCGATTGCGTTCAGAGGAAGGATGTTCAACTGATCGATAACCTTTTTCTAATGGACAGTCACGGAACCTCGCGATCTCGCTCTCTTCTACCACTATGTCAACAGGCTTTGCTCCTTAGAGCTCCCTCCATGATGTCGTCATGCGATGCCTCTATCAGATAGACTAGAACCTTAAAATCTAACACTTTCAAGCTTCGTACATCCCGAACTTCCCGGTATGATCGTTCCTTGTTTCTTTTGTGGAACAATCTGCTTGAGGAGGCTCTTCCAAGTTGTGCTATCTTTAGGCAGCTCAAAAGTCAAACTGACAATGTATCTTTAAGCTCCTTACAGCAGTCGCAGTGCCCGGTATTTAGGCGGATGCTTCGGCGTAAAAAAGGAACTGTAGGGCTTTTGAAACTTGCTGTCAATGTCAGCGCGAAAATGCTCGCATATCCGGTGGCCTAGGCATTCGATTTGTCCAGGAAATGGGAATTGGTCAAAATTGCGGACGCACAGAATTTTTATTTTGCATCAATATTGAACTGAGATAATTTGAAAAACGGGCCTTGCAGTGCCTCTTGTCGTCAGCAAGAAATAAGGTTTGAGATCTATATATACTAAGTGACATATAAATCCGAACACCCAGTTTAAATGGTTTTATTTTAATAAAATTTTGTATAAGTACTAAATGGAGCATAATAAGTAAATGATAAAAATTTCAAAATGATTGCACTGCTTTAAAGCCCTTTGACCATTAATAATGTGTGGATGCACCCTGATGTACTACGCATTCTCCAACGCACCTAGGCATGCTTCTGATCAGGTGGTCAATGTCCTCCTGTGGTATCTCATTCCAGACAACCACCAACTCCTCTCGAAGTGCTTCTAGAGTCTGAGGAGGACCTTGCAAATTGAGCAATCTCCTACCCATCATGTCCCACACGTCCTCAATTGGGGATAAGTCGGGAGATCTTGGTGGCCATGGTAACAATGTGACATCATTATGTTGAAAGAAGTCTATTGTGACTGTTGCAACATGTGGTCGGGCATTATCTTGTAGGAAAGTTGGATCTGCCAGGGTGTCAAGATAGGGTAAAAGATGGGGTTCTAGAACTTCATGGATATAACGCTGCGCGTTCATGTTACCTCTGATGAAGATTAAAGGTGACCTGGAACCATAAGCTATAGCACCCCAAACCATAACTCCAACAGTGTGATGAACACGTCTTTCAACAAAAAGCTGTGGATTCCTCCTTTCACCACGTCGCCTTCTAACCCTGGCACGACCATCGTGCATGCCTAAACAAAATTGAGACTCGTCACTAAAGACAATACTGTTCCATTCCTGATCCCAGAGTGACCGTTGTCTGCACCACTCAAGGCGATTACGTCGGTGTTCTCGAGTTAAAGGGAGGACCCAGTGTGGCCGGTATGAAAACAAGCCAAAACTTCTCATTCGTCGGTAAACACTTCGCATGCCAATAGGTCTTCCGTGTTCTGCAAACCATTCATTTGCAATGGATCTGGTAGTGGAGAAACGGTCCCTTAAGGCCAATAACCTTAGGCGGCGATCTTCACGGTCTGTTGTTCTACGGCGGCTTCCAGTGCCCCTTGCTCTTTGCCTACGGCCTTCTCGAAGCCATGCCTGACAACACCTAACCACAGTGTCTATACTTCTTTGCACTCTAACTGCAATTGCCCGAAAAGAAAGTCCAGCTTCCCGAAGTCCCACTATACGGCCCCTATCAAACTCACTAAGTTGACGAAATCGTACAGGTCGCCGTACTCTAGGCATCGTAACCGATCGTAAAGGATGTCAAGAACCAAAATCCGCCAACGTTGATTGTTTACTGTGGCTGAAACATTCATTTTTAGAGCGTTAGTGAATTAAAAAAGAGCAGTATAAAAACCGGAATGTCCAACTGATAGGGCTGAAAATTTTTTCACTTGTTATTTACAGTAAGACAAATACATTCACCAACTTTTATTAAAATAAAACCATTTAAACTGGGTGTTCGGATTTATATGTCACTTGGTATACATGAGCAACACGTTTTGGAAGTTTTGTGCCCCCTGCACCCAATTTTCCAGAAAACGGGTTTGCGATTAATTTATTGTTTTTGTTATGTTGGTACAAACTACAGTATTTTGAGATGCTGATTCCGAATATGTTCATGAATTGTATCGTCTCGCCTATATGGAGTAAGAAAATAGTCCTTTTGGGTCATATCGTCATTCTGAGCGAGAAACCAATTTCAGATTCATAATCTATGCACATGGATTACCAAAGGCGATCTAAATCTTGATGTTTCGACTGGAAATATGGTTCTTCTTGGACTTGTTTTTGAGTATCTCTCAAAGAAAGGATCCTAATGACAGAAATTCTCTAATTTTCATCAGAGGCAATATGGCAGCCCGACGCTGTATTCAGGAAGTAGTGGAGCCTCATCTTATTCCATACCTAAGCACCATCCAAAACCCGATTTTTCAGCAAGACAATTACAGACCGCATGTTGCCAGAGCATAGTTAGCCTCCATGGATCAACATCGCATAAACCGTTTACCTTGTCCACCACGATCGCCTGATCTATCCCCAATTGATCATGTCTGGGACATGATAGGTCGCAGGGTCCTGAACTTGCAACACCCTCCACAGACTTTAGCAGGTCTTACTCACAAAGTTTTAGTGGTCTGGAAATGAGATAACCGAAAAGGATATCAACCACCGTGTCAATGAGTGTATAAGAAATCGTGGATCCGCAGTCAGTTGATAAATCAAGCTGAAAATTTAACCATTTTACTAGTAAGGGACACTGAACAAATATGCCAAAAATACATACGTAGGTGATAACCTATTTTTGTCACTCGGTATACGAGCATTGGTGGATAAATGTACCGACTCAAAATTCTCGTATTACGAACCGCATAACACAAACCTACAGAAATGTTAGTCTCCAACTACACTGGTGGCATAGAAAGTGGTGTATTTTACACCTACAAGAGAAGACAAAATATTTGTTAAGCTATTGATTTTCTTGTATTAAAGAGTTAAAATAATAGAAAAAATTAAGGTGTCAATATTTTAAGAACGACTTTGAGACTACGCTGGATTTCAATGAAAATAAGGAACCTTCGGAAATATTTTCACCATGTTTCAGGTAAGAAACCCACCCAGAACGTGCTGATAGAGAATAGTCATATGAACGCTGGTCATGGAGGCGTGAGCATAGGAAGCGTCACCTCGGGAGGCTTGAGGAACATAACTGTAAGAAACTGTTACTTCAACAACACCGTCAGAGGTCTGTTTATCAAAACGAACCGTCAAAGAGGAGGTACCATCGCAGACATTCACTATCACGATATAGTGATGACGAATGTGAAGAAGGAGGGGATTGCGATATCAGCGATGTACAACGATAAAGACGCTAGTAAGAAGCCGATCACAGTAACAACTCCGTTTATAAACAATATTGAGTATAACAATATTAGAGGGAATTGTGGTCGTAACACTATCTCACTGGTAGGTTTACCTGAATCACCTGTGCAGAACATTAGGATTAACGGTTTCACTGTCACTTCTAATCAAGGAGTACTACTGAATAATACTAGAGATATCATAATTAATGGTAAAAGACAGTGAGATATTTTAAAGCAATAGTATTTATATTTTTGTATAAAATACATGTTTCAATAGGATGTGCATACTTATATTTACGACCGATCCCTTAACATACGTCCGGAATTACAATCACGAACAACTGAGATAGAGAGTTTAGCTACATTTTGTCAAGGATACAGCCTCATATACAGGGTGGCCCATAAGTCCTTTGAGCTGGAAAAAAAGGAATAAAACCAAACTAGTTACATTATGAAGAATTATTATATTTTGTTATCATCTTTATTGAATGGGAATTATGTTTTAAAAATCACATCGTCTAAATGCAATCCATTACGATCACGGCACTCATATAAACGACGTCTAAAATTGTCGATGACTGCGCGGCAAGTCAACACTGTAATGCTTGCCATTTCTCTTCGGATATTTTCTTTCAGGACATCAACTGATCGCGGAGTGGTGTCGTACACTTTACTCTTGAGGTAGCCCCATAAAAAGAAGTCCATTGGGGTCAAATCTGGACTACGTGGTGGCCAGGAAATGTCTCCTCTTCGAGAAATTACTTTGCTGGGAAAAAGATGACAGACGACGGGCATAGAAATGTTGGAGGTGTGGGCAGTTGCTCCGTCCTGTTGAAACCAGGTCTGCGTATTATAGCCTGGAAAATTCTGCAACGCTGGTGTCAAAAACTCTTCTATCATTGCTACATACCGCTCCGAAGTAACAGTTAATGCGCGACCTCTGTCGTCCTCAAAAAAATAAGGACCTACGATGCCATGCGCTGACATAGCAGCCCAAACTGTAACTTTAGGGCTGTGTAAAGGCTTCTGATGCTTACGCCTTGGATTTTCGGGGCTCCAATAACGGCAATTTTGTTTATTTACATGCCCGTTTAAATGGAAGTGAGCCTTGTCCGAGAACAACACATTATTGAGCGAAGAAAATCGATTCAACATTTCATTCGCAAAGTTTAGTCTCTGAATAGCGTCATTATCTTTTAATTCCTGCACTAACTGAATTTTGTAAGCGTGCAGACGTAAATCTTACCTTAAAATCCGCTGTAAAGATGTTCTGGGTACGTTTAGTGCACTGGAACGCTTACGAGTAGACTGGGTAGGATTTTGACGAACAGACTGTGCCACAATGTTGATGTTTTCTTCAATACGAGTTGTCCTTGGTCGATACCACCGCTGTTTATCTAACGTCGAACCAGTCTCTTCGAACTTAGCAACCCAGTTCTTAATCGTTTGAGCCGTTGGACACTTTGTAAAATTGTGTAAATTGTGGTATTCTCGATATTTACGCCGCGCAATGGTTGCCGAATCATTATTTTGATAAAACGCGCGCACACAAAAAGCACGATCCGCTCCAGTGAACACTCCATGGCGACTGAATTCCCAGACACTGAAGATACTGCCCCCACCTCGCCCGCGCCGCTCACGCTCACCCGTTAAATTTTATTCAAATTTGAAATTTCAAAGGACTTATGGACCACCCTGTATTTCTCCGAACTCTGTCAAGCAATGCTAGATCCAGGTTGTTTCAAATTTGTTACTTACCATTGGGGTTTCGGAAAGGATAAGAGATACGAAGCCAGTTAAACAGGAGCGTATTTAGGTACCTGTAACTTCGCTTCGAATTTTCCACGAACCGTTTTCATTTTTGACTGACTATTTGAAATGCGATTTTAAAGTGAAGCGCCACTTTTTCTCTTCCACAAGATGGCGTAATCAGAGTTTTAATAGGATGTTTCGTCTCTTGTGTTCAATCATCAAGTTATTTTTTTCTAAGAGCTAAGACAGTTTTGAGAATTTTGAGATTTTTGTAAATTTTGAAGCACTTGAAAATTTTTAAAACAAAGTTAACGTTAAAGGAACATTCGAACACTTTTTGAGCGATAATGAAGACAGGGAGAAAGTATATCGCTTCCTCAATGGGTTGACGTCGGGGCGCTATGACATTGAGCCTTATTCATAGAACAAAGGATTATCCTTGAACTTGCAAATTTTAAAGGAAATCCTCCAGATGGTATTTATAATAATTTGAAGTGAATGCTTTTGCTTTTTCAGTATAAGCATATCCTTCAAAGCAGTGACATGAGTAAAAGGATATTCATAATCTTTACCTTATAGTTGGCATAGGTAGCATATCCTTAAAAAATTCTGAGTGTAGTCAGTAGCAGACTCAACTTCGTAACGGAAGGTGGTCAAACGATGATGGCGGAAATTGTGGATGTTAGGGATGTTAAAACGTACAAACCTCGTTTACCTTCAGTTGGCCGTGACTTCAAAAAATTATATCGGTTCGACGAAGCAAATGTACAATGGCTTGCGGACAGATTTTTAGTTGAGAATGAGAAAACTCGAGGAGGAGCACTTTCATGTATTCATAAAATGAAGATATGTCTACGCTATCTCGGTGACCCTGGATATTGACAAGGTATTGGTCAGGAACTTGGTGTTAGTCAAGCAACGGTATCTCGGACTGTGGATAGAGTTGTAAACAGCATAGTTGCACAGTCGAACGAATGGATCCAGTTTCCAACTACCAACCATGACCTGATGGAGGCCAAGCGGATATGGCAAAGCATGTATAAATTTGCGACAGCAATTGGTGTAATTGATTGTACACATATAGGAATCCTGAAACCAAATCGCCATGGAGATGAGTTTATCAACCGAAAAGGGAAACCTACTTTAAATGTGCAAGCCTCTTGCGATGTCAGAGAGATGTTCACAAATGTTCATGTCAGTTGGCCTGGATCAGTGCATGACTCCAGAATATGGATAAATTCACAGACTAGATCACAACTAATAAGTAAAGCAAATGTTGAACCCTACTGCGGGTGCAGAAATAAATTATAATGAGCTTTTAAAACAAGAAAGAGTTATAATTGAACGCTGTTTCGGCCAACTAAAACGGCGGTTTCCTATCCTACAATATGTTTGCCGCGTAAAGTTGGAGAATGTGCCGAAAATAATGATTGCTTGTATTGTCCTCCATAATGTTGCGAAGAGCTTGGGCGATCCTGACTTTGAGTTAGTTTAACAAGACCCAGATCAAGATGAAGGAAATCATGAGAATGACGAACTTTCTCTCCGCCAACTAGGTCAACAAATAATAAATAAGTTTTGTTGATTAAAGTGTACTTGTAAGTTATAATAAGTTGTATTTTCGTGAACATCATAAGTTACAGGTTGCTTCTGACGCTGCATCATTTCTAATTTCGTTTTATAATACTCTTGTTGTAAAATACTTGTTTGGTACTGCTATAATAGCACAGTTGTTTTGTGGCCCCACGATACCCCATGGGTGTTTAGGCCTTAGGCCTTCTTGGTAGTTGGAGTATAAAAAAAAGTGAACCCATTGGTTACCTCAGTTTCGTATTTCTCTATTGCTAATTTCCTTTTTGGTGGCAATGTCTTTTGCTCACTGTGCTCGGTATATAGTTCACTTCCTTCTTCTTGAACACTACCAACCTGAATGGCACCTCTAATTTTCCCAATTGTAGGATTACAGTCTCCTTCCATAGCTTTCAGCAACCTTCTTTTCCAATACAACAATTTAATTGCTTTATTACCAGTTTTTTTTTAGATGTTTTTTTCTTCAATCTTGATTCCATGTTGTTGATTTTTTTTAATAAGCCTTTAGTATGTAATGGTTTACCGAATCTTTATTCGTATTTATTTAACATCTTCTTCAAGGCATCGTCCTTTTTCATTTTTATTTTTGGAACTTATAACTTTTACAAAATAATGGGAGCAATGGCAATTTCATCTGCGATTATTGCCATTATTCTGTATATTTTCCTCCTCACTTGAGGATGACGTGCTTATTAATTTGATACAAAACGGTATCTAGTAAAAATACGGAACGGTCTGTGTAAGCTCTGGAGTACAACTGTCAATGATGCTGAGTGAACGAACTCCCACGTCAATCACAAGCTGGAACAAGTCAGGACATGTCGCTCAAGATACAAATACCAGTCAACCTTTTACTTCTTCTTGGAGGATATCCTCGCGAGTATAAGGTAATAATTATGAGTATGAAAACAAGGATATGCTTATAGATCTGTATAGGTCCAAAAGTTCATAATGATGTGCCAAATAGTATTAAGAGATTGAGATATTCTACTGTTAAAAAGGAATTAACAAGATGGATTATTGATAGTCAATACGCCATTAATTATGTAATATAAAAACCTGTAGCATTAAAGGTATTAAGTTCCTAAAATTTAAGATAAAACATAATAGCTTTGAATTTGTTTGATCTATTTTTATATTTCTTTTTCTCTTTGTAAACTAGAATTAAGAACCTCAATGAAAAAGTTACACTTAACAATGTGAATGGGGTGCACACACAGTATTTTGAATACAATTGTGCATCTAAAACTATTAGCAATAGTGGGTAATTTTAAGAATAGATAGCTGGATTTAAATATTATACAATAATTGTAAAGTCTATATATTTAATATGATGTAAAAAACTGTATACATGTTGAATCTGCTGCTAATAAATGAATAAATAAAAAAATAAAAAAAAAATACTTCTACATTTTTCTCCGAAGCAAGACCTTATACTGCTACCTTATGCTTCCGAGGATATGCTTCTCTTTTATGAGTACGGCTCATTGTGACGCAAAATTTTGAATACCGTCTACAAGAATGGCGATTATGTAGAAAAATAGAGCTTAGCTCCTTCTTTCCAATGATGTAAATTTCTATGAGAATAAACAGTACATGTATAAAATAGCTGAGATCCTTATCTCTGATCAACCCTTGAATGTTGGAAACGCATCTTAAGAGTCAACGAAGTCGATCTCCGCTACCAGAATTAAAAGATACCTTGATCACTCACCTCTTTCCCCACTCTATTCTTCCACCGCTTCCAAGCTCCTTCTGCCATTCCAGCTCTCCAGTAATCCACCATGTAACCTTCTGCATACTCCTGGCCTTGTCCGTTACCGAAGCGACCTTGAGTATGAAGTGCAGCCACCACGTACTCTTCCTCCAGGTCCACTTGCAGGTACTCTTTGGAATCACGTGAGACCATCTGACGGGGACACCATGCCCCACCATTCTTTGCATTGTGTAACCTGTACAAATATAATAAACGGATTTTGTTTTTAAATAAAATCAAGAATTTTAGAAAAAATATCACGCTTACTTTATTATAAAAGTGTGGAAATAAGGGCGCTTTGTTTTATAAATAATATTCGTCAAATGCCCCCCTCAGCTGTTTCTATAGATGACCATTCCTAGACTAACATTTTCAGTGGCCTTATTGAAACAAATGTCGTAAGGCATTTTTTGCTTCAGGTCACTAATTGTCTGCAAATTGACTGGATCTTTTTTATCATATTTATCATAGCATGATACATTCCTGCACTAATGCAGGTTTTTCTGCAATAATCTGTGTGGAGATATAATTCGAATTACGATTAGGAGACCATCAATCTGTTGTTCTTATTTACTCAAATCTGTGTTCATTAACCTTTTTTTTAACAAGAGCTATTAATTTACCAGGCCCCATTGGTATAGGACAGTTCATGAATGCCTTCTACCAAAATCGGCTTATTTGACTATATTGACCTTTTTCTCACCCAGAATGTGGTAGTTCCCAATACTCATAGATCTCTTGATTGCACCGTATTGAGGAATTCATCAAAACAGATTTAATATTAATAATGATGATAAATGACAATAATAATAAATAGTCTTTATTCATCCTTCAAGGCAACTTAAGAAAAAAGATAATGCAACGACAAGCTGATTTTCAACTAAACCCATAAAAAAATAACGCTCATACAAAATATATAAGAAAATAATATACAGTTCAAAATAGAAGGTACGAGAACATCTCCAATACTAGAGATAGATTCATGACTCATATTGTGACTTTGCACCTCAGTGTGCATGTAGCAAATATATAAATAAGAAATCGAGCTTGAAATATCTAGGAATAATTATACATGAACTTCTTACTTGTAAAGGTCATGTTGAGTATGATACAACAAAGATTAGAAAACTTATTCACAAATTTTATGAATTAAGGGAAATATTAGACTTCAGAACTCTTAAAACAGTTTATTTTGCTTTAACAGAATCTGTAATTAATTATGGTTTCGTAGTTTGGGGAAATACAAGGTTAACAACGTTATCCAAGTTACAGGTAGCTCAGAAATGGATCATAAAAATTATGGTTTTCAAACAGAAACGATATTCATCTGAACTTGTTTTAGAGACAGTAAAATACTGAACCTAGAGCAGCTCTATTTAAAATCACTTATAAGATTTATGATGAAATATGATTTATACAAAGAATACTTACAGCATGGCCAAAATACAAGAAGTGCTGCTCACACAGCTTGCCAGAGTCACGTTTACTGTATAGGTCCAAAAGTTTATAATGATGTGCCAAATAGTATTAAGATATTGAGATATTCTACTGTTAAAAAGGAATTAACAAGATGGATTATTGCTAGTCAATACGCCATTAATTATGTAATATAAAAACCTGTAGCATTAAAGGTATTAAGTTCCTAAAATTTAAGATAAAACATAATAGCTTTGAATTTGTTTGATCTATTTTTATATTTCTTTTTCTCTTTGTAAACTAGAATTAAGAACCTCAATGAAAAAGTTACACTTAACAATGTGAATGGGGTGCACACACAGTATTTTGAATACAATTGTGCATCTAAAACTATTAGCAATAGTGGGTAATTTTAAGAATAGATAGCTGGAATTAAATATTATACAATAATTGTAAAGTCTATATATTTAATAGGATGTAAAAAACTGTATACATGTTGAATCTGCTGCTAATAAATAAATAATAAATAAAAATTTTTTGCAAAAAAGATCAAGACAACTTCAAAAGAAACAAAGTGAGGCATTATCCTTTAAAGCGTAGTGAGCTTTGGTCATACATATATTAGGCCTTTGTTCTTGCGTGTAGTAGATCAGGTTAAATCTTTTTTTAAAATCGTATAGGTTCAGCTGTTATACAGTTGGATAAATTCCATTACCAACATCTAAAGATGGAAAACTATGTACAAATGTACAGTATTCATGACAATTTAAAACTGTCAGACATTCCATTTCGGTATTTCCTGTGCGTTTTAGTTAAAATAAATTGATTTTGCGGTTTATCGCGTTGTACTGCGTGAAAACATATATGGTGATAAGGAAGGGAAATTGAATCACAACTGAATGGACGTTTTGGATGTAGCAAAATAATAGAGTGCGGTATACCTATTTTAAAATACTACAGGGTTATCATATATAAATATCGAAATTAGCAGAACTTCTCAATAATAAATATGGCGGAATCGTAATTAAAATGAAAGCGATGGGTTTTAAAATATAATTATCAATCTAATTCTACCTTGGCGATTATACATTTTTTCAGGAAAATATTAAAAGGTCAATGATGTTTGTTTTACGGACAGAACGACGTGCAGATAGTAGATGCTTTCGTAATTTTTATTTGATTACTGTGAGTAATTTTAAACTTTACGAGTCTGTAACCTTAATGATGAGACTGGCAACGTAGCATAAAATAAGGCATTTTCAGAAGGGAGAAAGTCGAATGAAGTTGAACCATGAAGCGGAAGGTCTTCACCTTCAAGAACCTCGTAATAATAATAATAATAATAATAATAATAATAAATAGCCTTTATTTGGGGGGTGAAGTTTAGTATAGTGCATATAGTAGTATTGTACGCATAACGTACAACAGGTAGATCTCCACTAACAGTTAACCCAATTATGCTGATGAGACTTAAGCTGTGGTCAAAATATGATTGTACACGACAAAGCCTTGATTATAAAGGAGAATGTAACCTAGATTCTAATTCAAACTCGAAGTTTTAATTAATTGCCTGACAAGTTTGCTCAAAGTCTAAATTTGATCTTAGATGCAAGTCATCATCGGTGCACCTCCAGGAAACATCATGAAAGTTTGCACGTTTAACATGAACGTTTGTAGAAAGTTTTCGTTGTCTGTCAGCGAGCTCTATCGGAGATTTGCCTTTGGTTAAAGTCTTGTTGGTCAGTGAGTCTATCAGGTTTCAGAATCCAGACAAAGTCACGGCGAACGAAGCGAAACAGAACGAGAAAATGAAGGTAAGAAAGGGAGGAAGGCAGACGGAATACAAAGCGCACAACCGCCACGTTAAAATTATCAACTATTATTTGACGCAGGATACGTGCATCCCTAATCCCACCTTGCTATCTTGACCCGTTCAAAAAAATAAGTATGGGAGACTTTTCTGGAATGGTTGCAAAGAGCAAGACTTATATGCGTTAATAGTAGTAAAACAGAAGCAGTTATACACTAATGAATTATTCTAGGTCTAATAGAGATGTCTGAGGATAAAATAATTCACGGATTTTAGCTATTATTTAGATAAAGTGATGAAAGCACAAACAACTAGATAACCTTTAGGTTAAGGCAACTAGGTTCTCTCCTGGCACACATTCTGTTCTTAATTTATATTATCAAGTACGAGACCAAGACTAAGGACATTTGCAGATGATACTTCAGTGTGAAATAAGTACCAAAACAGACCATAGACTTCTCTAAAAAGAAAAAAACTCTCAGTTCGCATTTATCCTTAGATAAAATAATGGATCAGTGGATATAAACTTCCTATCTAGATCCCACACTAAGCTGTGAAAGCCACATAGACCATCTGACAAACCAACTTTCTAAAACAATATTTTTATTGCGGAACCTGAGCTGTAAGAATTTTCTAATTGCATAGAAGATGCCTTAGAGTCATCTGTGGAATCGATTATAAAGCTGATATAAAAACAAACTCTACTAAACTGCAAACAATTACAACAACAAGATTTATTTTATAATGTCTACTATATGCTTATGACAATCAAGCTTCCCTGCAAAACAATAGTAACTACCATAATCATAACAGCAGAAATAACAATCACATGAGACTGGAGTACTTAAGTCTACAAGAACCTAGAATACCTACAAACTACGTTTCACGATAATAAATTATCACCAGACATCAAAACGTTATCATCATGTAAGTTCAAGTGCGCAATTATGCAAATTTTAATAGCAAATTCTTTATATCATCATAATGATTTTCTGAGCATTGACCTGAATAATCTGTTATCTCTGGATCATAAAATATCATACAATACCTTGTTCTCATTTTTTAGTATTTAAAGGCTATTATAATTTGGAAGATTTCTGTGAAATCAATATTTTCTTTAAAAATTCACTGTTTGAACGGTATACATGTGTATAGTATTGCAATATGTAGTTTCCTAATTTGTCGTTATTGCTAAAAGAGCAATGCAAATTATTACAAGACATGTGTAAATGATATTGTCTGTCGAAGGGTCTGTGGAAAGAACTGGGGAATGAAGCCTAAGCAAATGTTTTGGCTTTCTACCATGGTTATTAGACCTATTATAACCTATGGATCTGTAGATTGGTGGGGCAAGGCAGCACAAAGAACTGTCCAAGCCAAACTGAGTGCAATACAGATAGAAGCCTGTATGTTGATCACTGGTGTCTTTCGTACCACACCAACTGCAGCTACGGAGGTCCTTCTGAATTTACACTCCTTGCACATATACCTGGAAGGCAAGGCAAGGTCATCTTATAGACTACATCATGTGGCAGATAGTATAATGGACAATATCACTATGGAGGAGACGGAGATGCTTGTGGACTTATAAAACCACCACAGTCTGAAAATGCCTTCTGATATAATGCCAAAGATAACAAGATACGCTAAACCCTGGAGGGACCGGAATGAGTGGGAAGAGCAAGTTAACGAGATAAGGAAAGATATTTGTGCATACACATATGGCTCCAAGACCAAGGTAGGTGTTGGAGCTGGTGTCTTCGTGCCGAAGCTAAATTAAAAAATCTGTTAGCTGAGGAACCTGGGCATTGGTCTTCCAGGCAGAGCTATATGCTACAGAACTGGGTGTCAGCATGATCGCAGAACGACAACTGAGACACAGAACCATAATTATTTTTTCAGATAGTCCAGCCGCACTTAAAGCACTTGACTCCAACCTACTCGACATCGAAATTAGTGTGGAATTGCAAAGAAGCTTTCGTTGGCATAGGGGATGGGAATAAAGTACCAAAATACTAGGACACACATGTCTAGAAACGAGACAGGTGACACTCTGGCAAAGAGTGGGGATAGCACACCATTCATAGGGCTTGAGCCAGCGATTGAGATCGCATACAATACGGCTAAACAAATAATCTCTGCAGAGACGGACAGAAAGATCAATCGATACTTTGAGGGATTAGCAGGGTTAACCCATGCTAAAGCAACCATACCGATCTTGACAAGGAAGGTAACACAGACTCTTTGCTACGGTTGAACAGGAAAAACCTCAAAGCTCTAGTAGGACTGTACACTGGTCATTGCAAATTGCGTCACCACATGAGCAGGCTGGACATGACGGGAGACGCTGAGTGCATGGAGGGAGATGAAACGGTCAGGCATGTATTGTGCAGATGCTCTGCAATTGCCAGAATCAGGTACAACATACTTGGAGTCGTACCCAGTACTCCAAGCAGAAGACCCTAAACGATATTTTCACACTGACATGAGTAAAACTGAACTTGAATTTGAATTTAGCAATTTTGATTTCACTTGCTCAGCTCAGCTCAATACGTTTGATGTTGCCTAAAGCTACCGGCTTAATAAGCATTAATTCCAACGCGCCAGCAAAAAGCACCATTTGTTTTATTGGGGCATAAAAAAGTAGCGGCCCGTTATCAGTATTTTGCACAAACATCAAATAGCAGTTATAACGTGTTATCTCTGTGGTGCTTTGCCTGCCCGGCAGCGCTAGTATGCCCACTGGACTAGCAGTATTGCATTTCCTTTATTCACAGAAAAACAGCTGGTAACAGATTTTGACTGGCATTCGTTTTACGTAATGGCTTTATATCGGGCCATATCAGAGATAGCTAGGGTGCAGATAGCGGAAGCTGCGAGTAAATGATTCATGTGAAATATTTATTGTCACGTTTTTCCGATATACCGGGTGTTTCAAATTCGACCCTCACCATTGGTATCCCGGAAACGGTAAGGGATGCGGAGTCGCTTAAATGGGGGGCAAAGTTGTGTGTTCAGGTATCTAACAAAATACCAATTAAAAAGTCCTGAAATTCAAAGTACTTCCGGAGAGGTGCTGAAAACCGAATGTTCCCGACTTTTTTTTGTAGTGAGATTTCAAAATAAATTGCACAATAACTTTGCCATTTTTCCTCCTTTACAAGACGGCATAATTAGAATTTCAATATGACGTTTCGTCTCTTGTCCTCCTGATAAATAGAGTTTTCAATTCTGATTTCAAAAATGTATAATATGTACATTGACTTTGCCAAACCTTAGTTATTAAAAAAAATAATTTCCTAGGTAGGCCTTAAAATTATCAGATTGTCATTTATGCCATATACCAGATTTATCGCAAAATAATTTTCTATTTTTCCTGACGTTACTTGAGATGGGAATTACATTTTGTCACTGTCACTTTTTCTCCTCTATAAGATGGCATAGATCAATTTTCAATTCAAGGCTTCTTCTCCCATCTCCAACTTTGTTTTCTCAGGCTACATTGCACTTGTGTACCTTTGGATGGAACTTTCAGTCCTAAATTCAGTGAAATATGTTATTTTCTTGTTTGACTAGGATTTTGAAGTTAGAATGAAAATAATACGGAGTTACACAGAATTATAATTTTATTGATGGCAATAATAATAATAATCATAAATACGCAGAGGTAAATCACAGTAGATGTTCAAAACTTGGTCCG